GATTTGCGGTTGCGGGAATATTCAGTCGAAAAATAAAACCTATCCGTACAACCTTACCCACGTAACGTACCACCAAAGCCATGCGCACTTGCGCGACCTACACATGTAAAACAGCGATATCACATGTTCAAACCTCACCTGGCGATGTCTTGGGCGGTGACGCTGGTCCATGCTTTCTGGAGAAGTTCAGCGGCGTCCCGCACGTGAGGTTGGTGCCCTTGCGCTAGCCGCATTGTCCCGGCCTTCATCTTGCGGGCTTCGGCCTGGGCGCGAAGTGTGTCAGCCACCAACATGGTTGATGTCTTCACATCGAGCAGCTCCTTCCTGTAGTTGACCTTCGTCTTGGCGATGACCCCCAAATCCATGGGTTGGTGTACGGCGGTGCACAGCGGAGGGTAGGTCTTGACAAACACGCTGCCGCAATTGCCGTGGAGCCGCCCGCCACATCCTCCCTTGCAGGNAATGCCGTCGGCATTGCAGCACATGATGTCAGACAGTCGGTCCTTGAAGTGCATGCTCTTTGAGCCCCGCGCCGTCTCCCGATCCTCCGAGGTGGAAAGGTACGTGCGCGTGGGCATGAGCTTCCACTGGAGGCCTGTCTCGTCGACGTTGAGATGAACCTAGCCGGGTACTTCTCGCAAAGGGCCCTGATTTCCTCCATGCCCTCCTTGATGGCCTCCTTGTCGACGCTACCAGCCTCGCCATGAAGTCTCACGCTCTGGATCTTGTTCCGCTTCACGAAGTTCTTCGTCCACCTCTCGCCGGCCTTGAAGTCCTCCACCCTCTCCCTCACTGCTGCAGAAGTTGCGGTGTCAGCCAGCAGGGTTGCCCTGGCAGAACGGCCGAAGCTTCGAAGGACATCGCGTGTGACGGGCATCTTGGCCTTCCGGGCTTTGTCGAGTAGATCAAGAGCTATCTCATCCACCTGCCGTCAAAAAACGAGTAAACAACGCAGAGAGTGCAAAAGATCGAACGGTTTGTTTCGAACGTAAGCATGCTAACCTACACTGCGCGGCGCGGGCAGGCGGACGAAGCGTACCCTGTTACACTAAGCTCACACGTTCGAGTATTGTTCCCAATTGTGCACTAGCGTGAAGTACACTTGGACAAAAATGCGGCAGGCACAAACAAGAAGCGCTGCCGTGTTGTAGTAATTTACTGGTTTAAAATTGAAAAGAGGGTGTGCGCGAGAGCGCAAGGAACGAATGAACGATTGAAGCGGAGAAAGAAGAAAAACGAGAGGCAAAAAAAAGGAAAGAAAAAAGCCGAAAAACGACAACAAACCAAAGGAGAAAGAAAGACGAAAAAAAAATTGGACATCCAGCAGCGAACGAACCAGGCTCGAAAAAAAAGGCCGGCAAAAACAATGGCGGGGGAAATAACCGAACGTCACAGCATTGCATGTAGGCACCTCCGGAAAATCTCCTTTGCGTGCAGTTTTCTGGCTGCCGCAGCCTGCAGCAGTTGCTGTCTCCACCTTCTGCCGGCCAGCCTTCACGGTCCCAATAAACCGAAGCGAGCACTTGAAGCGGCCTGAAATCTGTGCGTGAGACACCTTCTGATCCAGCATGTTGAGAATCTCGAGCTTCTTGTTGTTTTCCGGCTGCGCACGAGAACCCGTTCCCTTCTTGCTTCCCCCGCTCGTCTGCTTCTGGCGTTTAGATGGTCCCGCCCCAGCACCCTTAGCTGGTGTCGCTTTGCGCTTGCTAGTCCTGGCGACACACGTGCTGCAGATGCGGTGCTGCTCGTTGTCCTCAAACACGCTGCCGCAATTGCCGTGGAGCCGCCCGCCACATCCTCCCTTGCAGGGGTGGCCATGAGGGGGTTGCGGCGTCCTGTCTTGTTGAAGGCACAGNGGGCACTATCCAATCGGCACTATAGCGGGCCCAGTACTGTATAGTAGCCTCTTACAAACTCGAGATTCCTGGATTACTTGACTGGATGGATTGTCGGGATTCCCGAGAATTCGAGTTTGAATACCGCGCGGAGGTTCCCGAACCATGGGTCGGGAATTTCCGGCTGGATCTTTGTTCCCGAATAAATATTCAGAGGGGTGTGTTGGCCCGATTACAAATTATACCTCTTTACTTCGAAGTATTCAGGAAGCATCTCACTTTTTGTACCTCTGCCGGTGATTCAAGGGAGGGGCAGCACGAACGACGACACCATGCACCATGCCGCATGGACACTGACTGCTACCACTCGAACAGCTACCACCGTGCAAGCTTGTTAGCCAGCGTGGCTTCTACCTCGGAGGCTGTTTCACCCCTCCGTCCTCCTGCTTGAAACACATCACAGATGATGCATCACTCCTCGTCTAAGCATACAACACCCCCCGCTTCTACTGCAGCACATCAGCACAGCAAAAGCGCAACTCGTCTTGAAAAACCCAACGGCTCCGCCCATCAGCCGCTCCCTCCAGGTATTCGCAGCTGGCGATCTCGGTCAGACGCAAAGAACGGCAGAGGACGGACACAAAACCTAGACCCGCACCCCCAGAGCTTTAAGGATACCGCGCGCACGCAAGTATTTATAGGTAGCTCCATGAATATCTCATCAGAGTTATCTAAAACTCGGTTCATGGACCGGCGGGACTTTTTTGGGCCTTTCGCTGCTTTGTACATTTGTGGCATAAAACTCTCGTGATATAAAACTCAAGATAAGATCTTCACAGGATAATAACACAGGAATCTTAGCCTGCGCCAATACATCCTCGAACAGTTTGTGTGGGGTAGGTGGGTTGCCGTTGGGGTCCAGCCAAATTTTGATCCACCGGAAAGCAGCAAGCGAAGTCAGAGTGCCTTTTTTCAAGGTGATACGAATATGCACACCCTTACGTAGTGAACGAAAAGCGGACAAGGCGAGTTCGTCTCCGCCAAGAGTGCCCCCAACCCACGCTAGCTGACACTGTATGTTGGCACTCGGGCACGTTGATGAACAAACCGTTGGTCCTTCTTCTCTTTTTTTAGTGCCAAAGAGAAAACGAGAGAGAGGTTGGAAAAGACAGCATTCAGGCATATACGCACACCCTGTGCATCAACGGCAACAACAACCTCCAGCCTCCCCGCCGTGTCGACTGGGAAGGGCCGCCCTCCCCCCTACAAAAAATAACGGGGCAGCCCATAAGCTACGCGGCGAGCCTTGTGGAGCTGTGTCGGTTCGTTAGTTCGTCTGTGCTTGCGTGCGATGGCAGCACCAGAGAGAGCGAGAAAGAAAAAGGAACACGACGAGAGAGGAAGGCAGAGGGAAAAAGAAAGAGTGCAGAGGCATGCAGCAATCTCACGTGCGCGTTGATATGCATGCAGCACAATAAAAAATCGTCCGGGTAGTGTCCGAAAGCTTCGTTGGGGGCTGGCGGTGGTGGCGGCGTTGTTATGACTGCGACGGCGGTGGTGTTTGCTGCACAAGCGAGGAGAGAGGAGAGCGAGAGAGTGAGATAGAGGGAGCAGTCTGTTCGTGTCGGAACACAAGTATTAGACTACGTGGGGCTCGGGAATCCCATACCTATTTTTGCTCACGATTCATGGCATTTTTGCCCAAAAGCCCCCCCCCGATATATAGAACTTGATTCATCCACTTTTCGGGCTCTTCCACTGGTTTCATGCATTTTTTCGAGTTTTGAATAACTCTATCCTGTTGTGCATCGATCCTCTGCAATCGTCGCTCAAGAATCGGGTGTGTTTTTTCTTTCCAAAGGCTCTTCTCCGCTTGGTGACGTGAGTACATCGTAACCATCGACCGTGAGACTGGCCTCCTGAAAGGTGCATGGTCAAATAACTGGGGCATGAGTGGCTAGGGTGTACGTGTCTGGTGTGTGTGTTTGTGTTGGCAGCGAGCCGTAGTTGTCTGTTGATGTGTTCATCATCCTGTTCATCATGCATGCATGCGATATTTCAGCCAGCTGCCCAGCCGGAGAGAGAGGGTCTCGCTGTGTGGTGTCGCTCTGCCTCTCTCTTGAAACACATCCCAACCACATACGAAGTCTCAACACAGGCGTGCATATTCATCCTTCATGCAGTAGTTCGCTGCCAGCAGCGTAGAAGTTATGAAAGTCTCCCGTCTCTCCAAGTTGGCCTCTCTCTCCAACGCACTGCTGCAGCGTAGTACATGTGCTATGTGTGGCAGCAAGGTGTGCGCACACTGGACGGAGTTTCGGATTACACGTCATTTTTTGAAATATTTACCTCGGAACAGCCATATATCAAGGCCTCCCCGTTCAAAGATATGTACCCCACGAGTTGGAAATAGAAATTGGATTTCCACGGAGATTCCTAAACCATGGTTCGGGACAAGAATAGCCAAAAAAATATCAAGGAAACGGGAACGCGAGTTTCAAATATGTCATAAAGAATATATATAGCAATAGGCCGCGTTTTCATGACCCCAGTTACTCCGCAATTTACAGCAAATATTCATTCGAAAATATATATGCAGAGGGTGGGGAGAAGAAATCAATCGTGACTTGATACCTCATTCGGCGGACGCCTTCAACTTTCTGACGGCACTGCTACAACGGGACGAAACCCCTTTCGGCCAAAACTGTTCAAAATGTGTCTGTTGCTACACCTCTATTGGCATCACATGGATATGGATATGTCTCTCTCTCTCTCTCTCTCTCTCTCTCTCTCTCTCTCTCTCTCTCTCTCTGTGCCGTCGAATTAATCACCATCCCTCCCAATAATACAAATTTCACGACCTGTGCGCTTCCCCATGTACGAGCCCCGGCATAGGAAGTGGGTTGAAAAGGCGGGAAGTGATGTCGACAGGATAGATAGACTAGGGAAGACATTTTCGGGCCACTTTTTGCAAAGTAGGAAGGAAAGAGTGGCCATCGGTGATCGGGGGAACAATGTTCCATCCTCTCGAGGCCGCATGGGCAATGGTCGAACCGCTAGCGCATGCAAAACATAAGAGTACGTCCCCCCCCCCCCCCCCCCC